TCGTGTGTGAAATGAAAACCAGTGGTATAGGTGATAATAATTTGGAACTATATTCTAATCTCAAAGCTATTTACAATTATTTACAGGCGACGTTACGTCGTTGGTGCGTGGTCGCGTTTTTGCTCTCGTCGGGAGCCGTTGTTGTCGTCTCGCGATTAGCTGCGAAGGTCATGGCGCGCGAGCGGCAGGCGGGACGCGGTCGGAATTGTTTCCGGATACACTATTGTTCGTCGTTCGAAGTTCGTTGCCTCATCGGCTTTAATCTGTTTATCTATCCTGGTCTTTCCTTGCTGGTTTAAAGGCGCTCGTTGTCGCCGTTATCTTCTGCCCGGTATGCGTTCGCGGTCGTAGATGTTAGCGGCGTAACGTGAGGAGGCAAAAGGATGCCGACGTCGCGTATCCACTTCGGTCGACGGAGTGAGGTATAGATAGGAAGCCGACGTCGCGTATCCACTTCGGTCGGTAGAGCGGTATCGAGGAAAGGAGGTCGACGTCGCGCATCCACTTCGGTCGACGGAGCGGTGTAGGGAAACCGACGTCGCGTATCCACTTCGGTCGGTAGAGCGGTATCAAGGAAAGGATGTCGACGTCGCGCATCCACTTCGGTCGACGGAGCGGTGTATGGAAACCGACGTCGCGTATCCACTTCGGTCGGTAGAGCGGTATCGGAGATAGAATGTCGACGTCGCGTATCCACTTCGGTCGACGGAGCGGTGTATGGATAGGAAGCCGACGTCGCGTATCCACTTCGGTCGGTAGAGCGGTATCGGAGAAAGGATGTCGACGTCGCGTATCCACTTCGGTCGACGGAATGTCTAGGATCTCTAGGAATTGCGAGTTCTGGTCGGTCGTGCGCCTGAGAGGAGCTTCCCGATCAATCTCTCTCGATATCAATTTTCTGTCGGCTTTTATACAAAATTATAACAAACAGTTCGACTGTTTGTTGACCTTGCGGTTATTCCGCGCGCGGTTGTTCGGCGTTTTGTTAGTAATTGTTTCGCTATGTCGTGACGCTTTCCGGATCGTCACAATACCGAGGAGGCAAACCGTAAAAGGATACGAGCCCCGAGTCCTGCCCCGTCCGAGGCCTCCATCGCGGTAGATACGATTAATCAAATCCGGAAATGGGGATGCCGATTCGACGGTAAAGACCCCGTCGCATTCCTAGACCGAATAGAGGAACTGCAGGTGGGATACGGACTTAGCAAATCTCAAATGCTAACCGGGCTACCAGAGCTCCTACGTAACGACGCTCTATTGTGGTACCGAAACCACCGCGCCAGCTGGACCCACTGGGATGACTTTATCCGCGCGTTTCGGGAACAATACCTGCCACGGCGCTACCGAGCCCAATTAGTACGGGAGCTACAGCATCGGCGCCAGCTGGAAGGAGAGCCATACGCC